TTTCATTCCTTCATTCTCTTATATTTGTTGCTACGCGCTTCATTCTTTATATTTGTCGTTACGAGGTTTCACTTATAACTTGTCACTACGAGACGTACTTGTTTGTCATTACGGACTTTACTGTATATTTGCAAAGACTTTCATTGCGTGATCAAGTATTTCGGCATTTGATTGTAATATTGATGTCACTCGCAGTGTGTTACATACTAATTGAAATAAACTGTGCGTATTCACCGTCGGAAAAATTGAGTTGTTCTGATACACACATATTGAAGTATGAGAAATAATTTTTTTATTGTCATTTTCGTACAAAATGGGAGCGACAGAGCCCACCGGCGGAAACAACTTCTGTAAAAACAACGCCACGGGAGGACGGATTTCTCGCCAAAGAAATCTGCAGAGGTTTTTTGATTAATCAATTTTTGTAGAAGTTATGCGTTTTTTAAGAAATGAATAGATTTTCCGCATCGAATCGATCTTTTGCATAAAAAGTGAGCATTGAATTGTTTATAAAATAAGAGTTTGCATTGTTGTGAAGCTATTGTTAGAAACACGAAAAATACGTATCGAAAAGGATGCGCTAAGGAATTATTACACTAAGGTTTGAATAAACTGTATACAATATATTTCCAATGGAAAATGCAATTTATTGACGCGTGTGACCGTTTGGGACGTTCTAATGACTCTGAGGGCCCGTCCTGTTCCGCTAGCCCTGCAGCGTACGTCTTAGTCCTACAGACGTGGGTGGGGGTGACAACTGACGCTGTCCATACCCTGCCTGTAGTCCTGTCGGTTCCGTCGCAGGAAATTTCCACACGTCTTACACTATTGTAAAAATTTCAATTCGATCCATGAAATAGTCACCGAGAAATCCGTTTTCCCAGTATGAAGAAAGTGGTTTCGAGAAAAACGCGTGTGAAGTTTTATGAACATTTTAATCCTTAAATTTTCTGTTTACCTCTAATCTACAATGTCTGTACCATACTCCTCTACCTTCTTGGATGCTTCTGTTTGTTTTGTAGGTAACATGTACATTTATTATTTTAAATGGTAAGAGTAATACAAAAGCGATGAATCGCAGCACGCCGCATGAGTACTCACAATCAGTGTGCGCTCTGCTAAGTTACGGCAAAATTCATAATTGAATCTTTTAAAATTTGTTTTCCACTATAAATCAAATAGCATTCTGTTTCTATGGCCATAAGGTATCGTTTCAGTAAAAAAAAATCGATTTTTTGAAAATCTTAGAATGGTTTTACCCCTTAATTGCGTAATTTCTGTCAATACTAAATTAATTTGTAATGTTATGACAGCTACGGTGGCGAAAATGATGAAATGACAAGTACTTGAATTGCTTCATCATGGGTTAGAATTCTCCTCATATTTAATCATGTTGTTCTGTCCTTATATTTCTTTCGTCCTTTATTGTTTTTCTATGGACATTTTTAACGTATTTTCATAATATTGTATGAAAATTTATGTATAACTAACGCAAAAGCATTCTAGCTTTGAATGAACTTAGATTATGTACTTTTTAGGGCAATAAGAAATGTTTATTTCGGTGTACCTGTTGAATTCAATGTTTTGAACAAGCAGCTAATAATGAGTCATGTGATGATATTCAAAAAATCAGTAAAACACCATTATCAATAACATAAATAGTATGATAATGATACTCGTACGATAATGATGGCTCTATTTTCTGTCCACTGAAAAAGTTTTTATCATAATCCCTCCTATAATCTCTGAGTCTACTACACGAGAATATTCTATTGACCTTATTGACCACAATCTATCGTTAATTCACGTTGATGAAAAGAAACAACCACTTTTTCGTAGTTTCTATCCACCAAACATTCCTTTTGCATAAATAAAATTAATGAGCTAAAACATCAATATCTATAAATTAAATAAAAATGGTGTTATTAGTTAAGCGTATTAAAATAATTCTGAAATAATAAATGGAGTAATTTAGTTCTGCATAAGAACAGCCAATATTGCTTTTAAACCATATTGCAGGTTTTGTGAGATATGAGCGATATAAATCACCAAACGTAATACAAAAACGAGTGTGGTTCACTTACGTTAAAAACGGGTCACTAGTCTCTTTTACAGCTCCCTGTGTCATTAATTTTAACGACACATGGCATTTAAAGGGTATAGCTATATATTTTTACAAAATGTATACATTCCTAGCCCAATACGGAGAAAATAAGATTGTGGTTACAATTTTCACTATTACAAAATCAACTATTCACAAAAAAATATTGCATTTGTTCAATCTTCTTCTTCTTCGAAAACAAAAAAAAACAAAAAAATATAGTTCAATCAAACGTATAATTTCTAAAATAAAAACAGCAAGTTTGTAGAAACATTTCAGTCTTCAAATACTAATACCTTTTTAACAAAGGAAGCAGATGATGACTTAACTTCTCTCCCTTCAAGTTTCACGTATATTGCATTATATTTCAATTAGAACAAAATCTCGAATTAGCGTTCGTTCATTTAAACAAGGCTTATAAATTAAATGTATAATAATTTTGTATATTAATAATATGCACAAGTTATTATTATCGACTTAAGCAAATCATTACTTTTTGTTAAAATTTTTACTTCTTTGCCTTGAAAGTCCACTGAAGATCATTGTATACTAGGTCGTTGATTCGTTTCAATGTGGGCTTATAATACTGTTGTGTAAACTATACAAAGTGCCATTTACAAAAAAAAGAAAGCTCAGCTTAACAATTATAGAACAATATTTTTCGAAGTATTTTATTAAAATGTATTTCGAATCGAAAACCGATCAACTTTTGTTGAAAGTGGGAAAACGTGAAAACAGTTAGGTGGAACACTCTGTATATTGGGTGATTCACAAGTAATAGAACACCTGAATATTTTTGTTCGATTTAAAGGTACGAAATTTAGCTATATAAAAGTTTGAATGTTTCGGGGGAATGCATATCACCATCATTTTTACAAATATTTGAAAAATGTTAAAATTAAATTTTCTAGGAAAATGGTGCTACATAAGAAAAAAATGTGCATTTTTTCAGAATATTATGCTTTTAAAAAATCTAGTAATAAAGGATCAAAAAAGTGTATATTTTATGATATATGTATATGCCTGTAACAGTGCACCGTACTTTATATTTTAAAGATGTCGGCTTTACTTTGTAGTATCACTTTAATTTTTCTAAGTGAAGCTGAAAATTTTCAGAGAAATATTCAGAAGTTGTCCTTTAGCAAAATATAAAAATTGGGAAACATAAATTTCTGAAATTTGTAGGTACAATTAACTCTGTACGCTACTGAAGGATGTAAAAGGAATAAAAAATTTGATTGATTAGAAGAGGCAAATTTGGCAAAATTTTTATCGGTACTACTAAAATTGTATATATTTAAAAAATATATGTACAAAATGTTCTCAGAATTTTCCAACAGTTTTCCAGAATTGAATTAAGTTAAAAAAGCACATTTTTCTTTTGATTTCAAAAATGTTTTTATACTCTGGATCCTAAAAACTAAATACATTTTCGTTGCGAGAAAATAAATTTAATAATTAATTACTTTTCAATTGAATTACTTAAATTAGTTATTTTTTAATGTATGAAACATGTTACACTGGTTGCAAATTATTAATGTAAACTGCATTATATAAAATATAAACTTTTACGCTGAACTGTAGAACCTTGAAGTGTATGTCTACAAACATTACATATGTATAATAACTATACAGGGTGTTCGGCAACTGGTGGGCATGATTTTAGGGGATGGTAGGTGGGGTGATTCTGAATAACTTTTTCCGTTACCAAAATGCTGGTTAGAGCTTAGTTTTTTAATTATTAATGAAAAACACTGAGCAATCAGAGCGCGAGATTTTGATCTTTGTTCATCTGAGACTTTATTGTAAAACGTTCGGTCAAAATACGCATCTGTGCATATTCGTTAACAGTAATTCGTAAACTAAAGATAAATTTTTCGACTCATCAAAATAAATAAAGTAAATTTAATATTGTCTGTAATACGTGTTGTGCAATCGCAATAATACATCTTGCAATAACTGACTTTTTTCTTTGAATCACTCATCACGCATAATGTATAGTGTGTACATAGTGAGGAACTTTCGTAAACGAATTGATGTGGAAAAAAAGTGGACACTGTTTACATTTCGATACTAAGGACAATCGTGGTGCTTGTGTGATTGTGTGTTTGCTTAGTGTGGGTTCTGAAAATTGTACCATTATTATACGGAAAACATCAAATATAACAGTCCCCCTTTTTACATGACAATCCCATAGAGCGGGTATTGATATTTAGCGAGTAAATAGGATTCTTGTCATACGACGATGTACTTCAAAATTAGTGAAGAATTCTTGGATCGTAAATTCACTCATGAGGTAAGCGTCCGAGTATTCTTTAATTTTATATCGTTAAATAAATAGTCATTGTTTTTAATTATCTAAAAAAACTACGCTTGATCTTCACCTTTATTTTCGTTTCATCCATATAATGAGTTCCGTTAATAAATTTATACTTATTAATAGTTGTGAATTTTATAACTACTTACCGGCTGACGTATTACCGATGATGATAATTATGTTAACGATATCGTGCGATTTGTTTGTTCACGACCATGGTCAACGGTCACGCTTGCATCCGTCGCTCTTGCATCTGAGCGCGCGCTATTCTCGCGCTCTAATTGGTCAATGTTCTTCATTAATAATTCAAAAACCAAGCTTCAACCAGCATTTTGGTCAAAGAAAAAAATTTTATATTCTGGGGTGTTCAGAATCACCCCAGTTATCAGCCTCTAAAATTATGCCCACCAGTAGTCGAACACCCTGTATATGAATTGTTAGAAAATAAAGTTTTAAATGAAAATTTAGGTTCATTAAATAACTTCTACGTTTCTATTTCACTTTCGTTTATTCGGTACTATTGTATATAAACAACTGTTCGCTTCGATAGCTCGACACAGAATGAATCTTCGCCGCTACCTGCCGCGAAGGGTGCTTTCTACCCCTCGTCGCGCTATGGCCGGTTATCCTGTTGATAAGCATTCCTCACTACTGCCTACCGTCCTTATTCCAACAGAATGTTATTTAATCTATTATTCTATTGTCAACAATAATTTTTAAATAAATTGTTTTTTAAGCGTTTACTCCTGTATTGTTATATTGTTCTAGTGTGCAACAATCAATTTCGACGACACAACGTTGGTGGCTGGCTTGATACGGATTTCACATTTCTTCTACTGCGAGCTGTCTCTCTCGGTGAGTGTATGATTCAGCTATGCGACCTCGAAGAACTTAGGAGTGGGGAGAATCCTTGCACTCTCGTCTACATTCATGCCTGTTTTACTACTTACTGTACAGAGTATCACAAATTTTTTATTATGGATCTCATAGTGTGATTTTGCACTTCAAGATTGGAGAAGATATTAACGACACAATTTCGTATTAGAACTTATTTGTTACATGGAATAATAAAAAACGATAATAATGGACTTCATACGACACATATGGTCTTTCGCGTAGTCACGATACACACATAAGGAAGTATGGGTACAAGCAAAAGAATTAATCTAACAAGGAAACATATCGAACCGCGATACACCGATTTTAATGCAACTTATGTCAAAGATAGTTCACAGGAAAATATTTGACGCGTATTTTTTTTATCGGCCATCGTTCAAATTGAAGGGGTGAAAATAGCCCTCGAATTTGGGGGTTGGAATCATATTTTTGGAAATATCTCCGGAATTAAAGACGATAATTGGATTCTTTTTTTGTAAATTGTTCGTCTTTAAATAGAGAATTTTTGTGCGTCAAAAAATTTCAATAAATTTTATTTGTTTAAATAATATTTTGAAAATTTATAATTTTTGTTTAAATTTTTGCACTAAATGTTGATCTATTTTTTTGCAACTTCGTGTACGTAAACTATGGACAAAAATAGAGGATACGTGTTTTTGGAATTTGTTGTTTGTTGCAATGTTTATTAGATATATAATTTAACATCACCTCCTGTGAAGAGGGGCAATCAGCATTTTTATTAAAAATATCATTATTTTTACAATCTTTTACCATATTTTAGACGTCTTATACCTCTTCATATGCCGTTAATTGATTTCTGAATAATTATTGCAAGCGTCGCAGGTATGAGCGTGAGGCGGTGATAATCAACACCGTAAGGAACTTAGGATTTTATGGCCCATATTGTTAAAATATAATTTAATTTAATTCCATTTTTTTAGTTTCTTAAAAAATCCCATTGTTTCCAAAAGTTCTAAATATTTTATTTAGATTGAAGACTTTACGCCTGTAAAGGTATAAAAGCAAAAATGGCCATAAAATCCTGTTTCTTACGGTGTTGATTATCACCGCGTCACGTTCATACATGCGACGCTTGCAATAATTATTCAGAAATCAATTAACGGCATATGAAGAGGTATAAGATGTCTAAAATATGATAATGATATTTTTAATAAAAATGATGATTGCCCCTCTTCACAGGAGGTGATGTTAAATTATATATCTAATAAACATTGCAACAAACAACAAATTCCAAAAACACGTATCCTCTATTTTTGTCCATAGTTTACGTACACGAAGTTGCAAAAAAATAGATCAACATTTAGTGCAAAAATTTAAACAAAAATTATAAATTTTCAAAATATTATTTAAACAAATAAAATTTATTGAAATTTTTTGACGCACAAAAATTCTCTATTTAAAGACGAACAATTTACAAAAAAAGAATCCAATTATCGTCTTTAATTCCGGAGATATTTCCAAAAATATGATTCCAACCCCCAAATTCGAGGGCTATTTTCACCCCTTCAATTTGAACGATGGCCGATAAAAAAAATACGCGTCAAATATTTTCCTGTGAACTATCTTTGACATAAGTTGCATTAAAATCGGTGTATCGCGGTTCGATATGTTTGCTTGTAAGATGTCGACAGACAGTCTTACATTCCATTATCTACAATATACAGATATGCATATTACAATATATCGAAATTTGAAAATTATCGTATCATGTGCTCATCAATGAGATAGAGAAGCTTCAAAAGAGTGATACGTTGAAACTCAATCATTCCCTTGGAAAATATAACTGAAAAAATATAACTGAAGCTTCATTACTGACGTCATTAATAATACAGAATGAAGACGATAACTCGGTGTAATTAGAAAATGATTCTCTGCGATAAAATAAGTAAATGTAATTTGACATTTATTTGTAACCAAGTAATACTTTCAATCTCTTAAAACTAAATTTTATTACATCTATAAAATAATTTTTAGAAAAAAAATACGCCGACTTCGAAATGCAATAAAAAGTATAAAATAATTTCTATTTCCTAATGAAGTAATTTCTATTTCATTCAATCATACAATTACGTAACAGATATGAATGAAACCTATTTACTCGTTAGGTATTATATTAAATACATTTCAACCTTTTCGGAGGCGGCGCAAAATTAAAAGATCATTTTGAATATGTTATTTAATTTTGCGCCGCCTCCGAAAAGGTTGAAATGTATTTAATATAATACCTAACGAGTAAATAGGTTTCATTCATATCTGTTACGTAATTGTATGATTGAATGAAATAGAAATTACTTCATTAGGAAATAGAAATTATTTTATACTTTTTATTGCATTTCGAAGTCGGCGTATTTTTTTTCTAAAAATTATTTTATTCATATCTCCACATCTTCATAATTATATTTGTCATAATAAAAATAGCCCTTAAAATCGTCAGTACACCAAATTAAAAATTATCGATTCAAATTTCTGAGCAGTAAATTATTCGCGGTATAATTTCAATTTATAATTATCAAATTTTTCCACATCTTCGTAATAAATTACGAACCACCAAATGATGACGGGATTTAATTAACTCTTGACTCGACGTCTCTCCTCCCTCTTAATTTTAATTAGTAACCAGTCAATTAATCCACAATATTAAATCTCCTCTATCTGGCGACGTTAAAAAGTTCACCGTTCATCCATCGTTATTATCAGTCGCTAATTAATTAAGAGCCCTCGTTGCCAATATTCGTCGGCAGTTTCGTGTTCATAAACTGCTAGTTACTTATGTCTTGTGCTCGATTTATTTCTTGCCTCCTCTTCACCCTGTACAAATAAGCTTCGTGCATAGGTACGTGTGTACACGAGGGTGCAATTTAGAATTCATTCCGTGTGCCGTGATGTCGAGCACGGTCGACTAAATTCAGCTGGAAAGTCGACGGTCGATCGATTCATCGTTCCGCTCGCATGCTTCCAAATAGAGCAGTTTTAATCGCCTTTGGCGAGCCGTGACTGGTTTTACTATTTTTCAAACGATGTAACGGAAAAAATCTTGAAGCAAACAGCAATGCGTCACGTGGGGCGCGATAAGCTGTTGCAGCTTACGTTTGTATTCACCGTTCAAACGAAATATGATGGCAAAAAATTGATCCGAGGCTTTCGTGTTGTTGCTAAATCCATGTATCACTAGATTTCTGTTGTTATAGATTCTTACGCGCCTTGTGCGCTCGAGGCACCACCCCCAGAGTTTTTACATACTATATACACCGTCTTTACATACTTAACACGTTGACTGCCGCGCGCATTTTACGTGGTTTGCCCATAGCGCCGCCATGAATTTTTTACTATGCGGTGCATATTATTTTGAAACATTATTTATAGCAGATAATGTATATTGTATAATCATGTTTAATGCATTTTTCGTGGCGGGGGTCTTCAAATCATTATAGTAACAATGGTATTATTTAAAATTTGATCAGTATCAATATTTACTCTATTTATGTATTTAACTATTGGTCGCGTCGCCGGTCACCGGTGGCCCCCACGGCGCTGTAGCCAAGTCGAGTGCCGGTCACCGGTTACCCCCACGGCAGCCAACGTGTTAATGCGTGTAAGCGCTTTTATTCTTATAACTTTTGCTGGAGCAGGAATTTTGAATATTTGATAGTTTTTGCGTTACCAGTTGCTGACAAGAAAAGAAAAAAAAATACTGATCGAATTGAGTAACCTCCTCCTTTTTCGAAGTCGGTTAAAAAATGACCTGAGAACATTGTATTCAGGAACCCACAATAATTGGCATAAATTTAGTTGTCAAATGCAAAGATGACTGAGATGTTGGCCCGTCCGATATGTTTTTATACGTTTCCAAATGATAAATAATTTAGAAAATAAGTAAGTTTATTTAAAATGGGACACGCTGTATGGCGGCAGAAACAAACAGGGACAAGTTATGATGTTGCGCATTCCTATTTGTGTCCCCGTTTCTGGAAACTCTGTGCATACGTACCGAGTGTGCGCGTATTATCTTGTTCTATGTAGATTTAAGGTAGTAATTCAGAACCAATGATAGTAGCATTAAGATTTTGAATCTTATCAAAAAATGAAGCTAGATGGAATTAGATCTCTATTATTACACAATGCAGTTTCTATTTTTATACATAAAGAACTTAATCATAAAGAGAATAAAAACAGTGGTAAATATAGCGATGCAGTACACGAAAAAAATTAGAATAACTGTTAGTAAATGTGAAAGTGGCAGGGATACGACAGAAGACTCAGAGAATCAAAGTTTAGAATAAATATGTACAGAATCTGAAGAAATACCATTGAAAATATGGTGTGTTTGGCTAAGAACCCACAGAGCTACAAGTATCTTCAAATAGGTATGAAAGAACTATTCATTTTTTTACCAACGAGCTCATACTTTAGCTGAGAAATAATTTGCGAAAAGTTATAAAAAAGAACACTATGATCGAAGTCGATATAGTGAACGGAACTATTGAAGAGTTTCAGTCGTTTGCTACGGTATTTATAAATTTGGAGACGATGTCGTTGGCAAATATACAACAGTATTGGTCGACAAATGATGTAAGCTATGTTCCATTTTATCTAAGCACATTCACAAGAGATATATTTACTGAAATCTTATAGATATTACACTCAAAAACAACTCCACTACAACATACAGATCTTAGAACATGTTTGCAGCAGTCACTGCGAGAATAATTTTCGTTGAGAAGATTTGAAAAAATGGTGTTGAAACGACTATCAAAAAATTCAGTGCTGTCATCAAATACAAGCGATATTATTCAAGCAGATCAAAATGTCTCAATATACTGTTTCATAAAAAAATTTGTAAGTTACCTTTTAGGAAATTAGAAATATATTCGACTTGTTCCTATATTTTTTACAAATTAATAAAGGAAACAGAGAAATAATAAACCGCTTAATCATCT